GCTAGGACAAATAAACAAAAAGCTTTTAACTTTTGCGGTTGTGGAAATGTCAAAAGCAAGGCATCGTCCCTTTCCAATTCCTCCTCTTTCTCCTGGGAGTATCACTGGTGTCTCCTCTGCTCCTCCGAGTCTGTCATTCCTGTGGGCTTTTCGGGCCACTAAGGGATATAGCAGGCCTACCAGAATGCCATTCTCTGCCCCCTCCTGAGAGCCAGTGGTCACAAGCCTGTGCTCTGTTCCACACTTGTAGCATCCAGGTGGAATTTAAAATAGAATGGATGGGTACCCAGTTATGTAAAAAGTCACCTCTGGTCTTCTGTTCTATCATGGGAGTTAAGACCAGCTGGGGTGCTTCTGGTATCAGTTTCCAGGACATAAGTCTCTGTGATCTGCAGCAGAAATTCTTACAACAGGGCCCTTAGAAGTCTCGTCCTCTGATGGGCTGCCAGACGCAGAGTCCAAGGCATATCTGCACAGGCAGACTTTTGCTAAGTTTCCCAGGGACTGAGAGAAAACTACCCAGAAGGAACAGGCTCCCCTGGGGTCAACAGCTAGTAATCTACAACTGTCTTGACCGGGAGGTGGGATTTATTGCTAGCCAGCTACTTATCTGGTTCAGTTGGCTCAGCTGGTCAGAGATGATCACGGTCACAGATTCAGTCCCACAACAGGGCTCCTTTGAGTGAAATAAACATGCTTGAAATACAGCACTCCCCTTCCTAAATCCCCTTCCCAGAATATAGCTCAAAACATCTTACCCCGTGCTAGGAAAACAAGTCCCCCCTTCTTGTGGGATCAAGAAGGGACAGATGCTTCAGTAATCTATGCAAACTTGAAGTTGCATGGTATTATAATTTTCTTAACATCATTAATTAAATTTTTGGCTGCTGAGCTCAGATCATGAAACGATATAACATTAGCTCCCATTTATTGAACAGTGAATACTATGATCTTTAGAACATTTTATAGATATGAATACCTGAACCTTAGAAAGCTCATGTAACACGGTAAGATCAGGTGATATATCTTTTGCTCAGTTAATATTTTGTCCTCCCTCCAAATTATAAAACTGAAGATAATAAATAAAAAATGAAGTTCCTGCTTGCTTCTAAAGAAATAAACAATTTGAAAAATGTAGTTGTATATATGTTTGGATTTGATCCAAGTTTTACTTCATTCCTCAAGTCAAAATAGAGAGTATGATCCCCATTAATGAGTACAGATGAACTACTTTATATTAATAGATATAAATTAGATTACCAAAGAGCTCCCAACTTTCATATTTCAGGATAAATAAAATATCTGTAAACTCTTATATTCTCCAAAAAAAATCTCATATGACCTGACAAGATTATAATGTATTTTAATATTCAACCATTTTAAAAGATTTTTGCAATTAAAATAAGTTCATTTTCATTTAAATCCAGAAGCAAAAGTGAAGCTGAATATAAAAGATAGGGCCCAAAAAACCCTAGCCTGTGCCACCCTGGGGTAGGCATCTCTCAGGTAGACAAGTCCTGCCAATGGCTAGGGTTTCCTCCTCCTGCAATCCTCTAGTGCTGCGGTCCCCAACCCCCATGCCAGGGACCAGAAGGGGTCTGTGGCCTGTTAGGGACCCAGCAGCAGAGCTCCACCCAACTCCCACCCCTTTCGTGGAAAAATTGTCTTCCATAAAACCCGCCCCTGGTACCAAAAAGGTTGGGGACTGCTGCCCCTTTGCCCCCTTTGGTGCACACACATGTGCACACACGCACACATACACAACCACATGAGCCATCCTCCTCCCTCCAGCCCTGTGGGAACTCCAGTCAGAGATTCAGCTCCAAAAGAGAGGTTTTAATGATTTTACATGTGAGAAACTGAGGCTGAAAGTTGAAATGAGTTGGCCAAGATTATCACCTGCTGACTGGAGCCCCAGTCACCCAACCCAACCCAGTACTCTTTCCATCACTGCTCCCAGCCCACAAAAACCAGACAGCAAAGAGAGGAAAAAATGGAACGGCACCCATGCAGATGGTTACGTGCCTCAAACAGTCCTGCTTTGTGGGCACTGTCTTGGAGACCTACCTATTGTACATTTTTGTTAATCTTCAGAGAACAGAGCAACTGTTTCAATAGAAATATCTGTGAACTGTGATGTAAGAAACCATGGGACACAATTTAGACCCTAAAGCCCAGTAATCTGGGATTTGGTCAGGGGAAAAAAATATATATATATATATATATATATATATATAGGCTTTGAATTAGGTTATGCAGCAGTATGTTGTGGCAGAAAAAACAGGACCTCTAAAAGAAGATTTGTTTTTGACTCTGCTACTTACTAGTTGAGTGACCTTGAAAAAATTTCTTAATTTCCTCAAATTAATTTCCTCATCTATAAAATAAGTATGAACCTGTTGGGGGGTTGAAATTTCATGTGGAGAGAGTGGCAGAAAAAACAGGACCTCTAAAAGAAGATTTGTTTTTGACTCTGCTACTTACTAGTTGAGTGACCTTGAACAAATTTCTTAATTTCCTCAAATTAATTTCCTCATCTATAAAATAAGTATGAACCTGTTGGGGGGTTGAAATTTCATGTGGAGAGAGAGGGAGAAAGAGAGAGACGGGGTAGGGGGAAAACTGAGGGCATGTAGCAGGCTCTCAGTACATGAAAGTTCACCATGTCTGACACAAAATAGTCATTCCAATGTCTGTTCGTTGAATGAAAAGTCTACTCCTTCAGCTGAGTCAGCTCCTAGAAATAGGTCTCTTGTGTTTTAGAAGTATGAACAGAATGACATCTAAGTCCCTAGACCATATAGAAGAAACACAGCATCACTCAGGCCCTAAAATTGTGTCTTGTATTTGAAAATGTTTGACCCACTGTCTTAGACTCTAAGAAGAGAATATTCTCAGTGCTCCTTCAAAGGCTTTATCTGGATGCCTGGACAGTACTGGATCCCTAGAGTAATAAAGAAGGTGACATCCAGTGACTCCTCCCCTGTCTGAGCCCCAAGACCGTATTAAGTGATCTTCCTGTATGTGTTCAGGGCACACTATACTTCCTACATTTTTTGCACTCTATTGCAATTGTCCGCTCACTTGTCTGTCTCGCCAGGTAGACTGTGAACTCCACAATCATTTGACTCAGTACTATCCCTTATTTTTAACCCATAACAGATGCTCAATATATATTTTTGAATGAAAAAAATTAAATGACCTCCTTAAAAGATCTACTACTGTAGGTCCTAAAATCAGCCTAAAGTACTGATGTTCTCCACCCACTGCCCACCCCAAGATCACTTCCCTGTCTTCCAATTCCCCTTAAAAGCAAATAATTTCTCTAGTTTCGGCATGTAGACCACTTAGATATTTGCTCAAGATGTTCCTCATCATGTGAATCTACTCAATAAATTGTGTTCAAAAATAGGAGCTTGTGTACTGGGCCCAGTGGCAGGGGTACCACAATAAATACACCATGGTCCCTGTTGGAGAAACTCATGGAATAAAGTGAGCTTGGATGAAGGCTGATTTTCAGAGAGGCCACTAGCCATTAGCCAAAATATTTCTAGATCAGTAACTACACCCTATCATCAACTTGACTCTCTAAAAATTACAATGTGGCTTTAGAACCTGGTACATAGTGTACACAATAAATATTTGTTGGATAAAGGAGTAAATGGGATAGCATGGGAATTTCAGTGAGCTTTTTTTGCTCTCGGCTAATACAGGAGGTAGGCGGCAAACGTTATCAAATCCTTTATTTGAATAAGTCTAAATTTGGGCACCACTGTCCACCCTGAGAATTAACTAACATTTCAGAAGTCCTCTGAGGACAGGTGATGCTTCTCAGAAACATTTCTTGTGTCTAACTAGGTGAGGTAGGGCTGATACCATAGCTAAGCATGTTCCAGTTGCCTTCAGAGCTTTCCCTGAGATTTTTCCATCGTATAAAACACAGTTTAACTAACCATCTAAAACTACTAGCCACTAGATATTTCCTGTTTCTGAACTATCTTTGGCCCCAAAGAGCACCCTAATAGATTCTGTAGTCTCTGTTACTGAAAATTTCAAATTACTTTGTTTTAGACGTGTCTGCCTGGCTGATTTGTACACTTGAGGGAAGGGATCTTGTCATTATAAATTCCTACAGGACTGGGCACACAGTAGGTGTTTAATAAGTAACTGTTTTTTTATCTTTTTTCCTTCCTCAATGTGTAGCCTTGTCCAGGGTCTCTATGACACCCACAATGCGGGACTGGAGAAAAATGGTAACGACACCACCCTCGTCTATTCCATGGCTTACCAGACAGTCCTCCTCACTCACTGCCCCTTTCTTCTGGGGACTAACAGCACTCTCAAGGACTGCAGGAAATAAGACAAGCAGGGAAAGGAAATCACAGAACACAATTTAAATATGGTAGGTTAGATGCTAGGCCCGAATCTTCCCTTTCACTCAAAATAAATGCATACATCAATGACGACGATCGTAAGCATGACTGCACTTCACCCAAAGTCTCCCGACAGGCAGACCTGAAGCAGGGGCTTGGAAGGTCAACTTGTTTAGTAGCAACTCTGACCAAAAAAGATGATTCTCCCGTGAGGGGCAGTGAGATTTTCCAGCCACTCCACCCGGAGGGCGATCCAGATGCAGCTGGGGCGGGTGGAACTCAAGCGTCTCCCATCAAACCCACGTTTTCACCCAGGGTTGCTGAGACAGAAGCGCCCCTATCAGTCTTCGGGCTGAATCAACCCCACGGGGACCCGCTCTAAGGAGGAAAGGTCATGACACACCCGGGTCTGGACTGTCTGTCGGGAGGCGAGAGCCGGGCGCCCCCCGCGGAGCCCACTCTCAGCCAATGGGAGCCTGAGGCCCAGGGATGATGAGGTGCGGGGCCGCCGCTGGGCCAATCAGGCGCCGGGCGCGGCCGGGGGGAGGAGAGGGTAGGAGAGGCCGGGGGCGATGGAGACGCAGATGCATCCACAGAAGTTTCCCACCTAGGAATGCGAGCGACGCTCCCGCATCTCCTGCACACCTCCGACTCCGCGCAGGAGGAGGGCCCCAAGCTACTTTCTCCACCACTCCTACTGTTCCCTGCAAACCAAGGGGAAGCTGCTGAGAGTCCCTATCACTGCTGGCCTTCTTTTTATGTTGTACGCAAGGAGAAAGAGGGCGAGGGACAACTTGGTGCTGGGCAACTGACCTCCGATCCGGCGGGCCTCTGGGGAGGGAGGGCACAAGAGGAGCGTCTGGGGCCGGGGGACTCCATGCGGGGGCCATGGACAGAGCGGCGCTCCTGGGACTGGCCCGTCTGTGCGCGCTGTGGGCAGCCCTGCTCGCGCTGTTCCCCTGCGGAGCCCAGGGAAACTGGATGTGAGTATGGGGGCGTCAGGGGCGCACGGGGTATGTGGCAAAAGGTATGTGGCCCAGCCCCAGGGAACTTTCACTGAGGCTGGGGGAGGGGAGTAGGGCGGGGACCCTAGGACGGGTGACCTAACTTTCAGGAAAACGTCTGGGATTAGGAAGGAGAGCGGCGAAGCGGCTTACGCTAGGGGCGGCCGTGTCTCACAGGTGGCTGGGCATTGCCTCCTTCGGGGTGCCGGAGAAGCTGGGCTGCGCCAACTTGCCGCTGAACAGCCGCCAGAAGGAGCTGTGCAAGAGGAAACCGTACCTGCTGCCCAGCATCCGAGAGGGCGCCCGGCTGGGCATTCAGGAGTGCAGGAACCAGTTCCGACACGAGAGATGGAACTGCATGGTCGCCACCGCCACCGCCGCAGGCCCCCTCGGCGCCGGTCCCCTCTTCGGCTACGAGCTGAGCAGCGGTGAGTCCCGGGACCCTCGGGGGTGGCGGGACACGAAAGGCAACGACTCCTTCGCCAGTTACTCCAAATGAAGTAAACAGTGCTTACGTGGTCCTGTAACCCCAAATCCCTTTAGCGCCCGGGGAATCGGGAGCGACGGCGGCCAGACCCGGGGTGCAGGTGCGGGCCTGGAGGGGGAGGACTCCCCAGGTCCAGAGCGGGGCGCCTGAGGCTGGAGCTCTTCCTCCTTACCGCGGCGCCCCGCCAGAGGTGGAGAAAAACTCTGACTCTCCCACCCCGCCGACCCGCTCGGACCCCGTAGCGCCCCCCTACTTGCGTGACCAGCTGGAGAAACATGATGTCGGCAGCGGGGAATGCGGCTGCCGCATCTGCTTTGATTTAACCAGCTCGGCTGCTCGCTGAGCCCTGGACAAGTGGCTAATTGCAGCGAAGACCCTATCTGTCGACCCTGGGTTGACGGAAGCATGGTGATTTTTAAAGCCACTGTCCCCGACAACCCAACGTGCAAACCTGAGCTGGACTACTTCGGCTCTCCGCTCGGGTCTCTCGTCCTTCCCTCTCTTCCCTGCTCAGCGCACTCCTGCTGCGCGGGAAGCTGCGCTAAAACAAAGTTCCACGTCCACGTGCGCAGTGACTTGGTAAGGATACAGGTACGGGGAGCCAGAACTGTTCCAGGAATACCAGCAGATTCAAAGAATTTTAGGACCGGGGCGCCGAAAGACGTGTTGTCGTTGTTCATGTTCATTTCCGTTCCCCCTCCACCTCTGACCCTTCTCCACACGGTCCCTGCACACACCCCCGCCAAAGCATCGCATTTTCCCCGCTGCGTTTTGGCCAACACACCCTTCCGAAGGAGCCCTCTCCCCTGCAGGTAATAAAAAAAAAAAGGAAGGAAAGAAAGAAGATGTGTTCTTCACAGTTGCTGAAATGTAGAGGCATCAGCTGTTGAAAAGGTTTATTGGACAACAGTGAGGAAGCAGTTTCTACTCCAATCTCAACATCTGGAAAGAAAAAAAGTCGCCTGCTGAGTCCCTTCTAGTCTATTTTGTTAATGTTTTAATGGAACTTTAATTTTCAAAGATTTTAGCTCGTTTTACTGCAGATGTGCTAAATACGACTTTTCAATATTCAATATTTTTCACACCAATTCCTTTTTTCTAGTGACATTTCAATTATTTTATCTTTCATTGCCTTTAAGACTGTAAGAGGATTAGCTGGTACTATATAAAATGTTCAATTGTTTCATATTAATATTAGTCTTTATTATGAAAGTAAACTGTACCATTAATCTACTAATTGCTTGGTCTTTACTTAATTTTAATTTTCATTCTGATATGTATTATTTATGCAAACAAAATCATACCAAAATTTTCAGATTGTGTTTTGTGAGACCACACTTTAAATTTAAAAAGTAATGTAGTTTCCTTAGGGTGTTGTATTACCATTTACAGTATCCTTGTGAAGAATTTTAAATTCAACATGCATTACTGAGCTATGACTGTCTATTAAGAACTGAACTAGGTGCTGACATACATTTCACATTTTTAAATAAACAGATGATTTTGAAGTATGAGGACAATGTACAACACACAATATGACAGCCTTCTCAAGTGGGATACTGAAAATTAATGTTGCTTTTTAAAAGACTGGAACAATAGAAAATATTCCTTTCTAAATATGTACTCATTAAAGCATCCACTGCAAGCAATTAAAAAATTGCTTGTCTGGTAAAATGATTAGTAGGAGGCTTTGTTCTGAACACAAACAGAGAGTGGTATGGCTGTCTAATTTAGTAATTTGTATTTTTTTCTAGGCACCAAGGAGACAGCATTTATTTATGCTGTGATGGCTGCAGGCCTGGTGCATTCTGTGACCAGATCATGCAGTGCAGGCAACATGACAGAGTGTTCCTGTGACACCACCTTGCAGAATGGTGGCTCAGCAAGTGGAGGCTGGCATTGGGGGGGCTGCTCTGATGATGTCCAGTATGGGATGTGGTTCAGCAGAAAGTTCCTAGATTTTCCCATCAGAAATACCACTGGAAAAGAAAGCCAAGTACTGCTAGCAATGAATCTACATAACAATGAAGCTGGAAGGCAGGTATGTATTAGAGTGGATAACAAAAATCCACTGCCTTTAGGTAAATAACACTAGGATTACACTTCTGGATGAATCTGTCCAAATGGCTTAAAAACCAAACACTGGTAGCCCTCGAGTGGGATACTGAAAATGAATGTTGCTTGTTAAAAGACTAGAGCAATAGGAAATCTTCCTTTCCGAATATGTACTCATTAAAGCATCCATTGTAAGCAATTGACAAATTCCTTGTCTGGTAAGAGGATGAGTGGGAGGCTTTTTCAGAACAAATGTGTGTGTGTGTGTGTGTGTGTGTGTGTGTGTGTGTGTGTGTGTACACATTTGCATATGTATATGTGTGTACATATCATATGCATACATATGTATATGTTCCTTCATGAGTATAATACTAACTACATTGGTTTAAGCTCTCCATCTGATGTGACTTAAATCTTGTTATAGTAATATAATATGTTTGCAGTTGTATACCTTGTATACCTAAAACATAATTATAAAATAATAGATGTACAAATGCCTGTTGAGTTATTTGGTTCCACCCCCTTAGCTGGTCAGTGGTAGAGTCAGAATAAGATCTACAGTATCTGCTTTTCTAATGAGACTGAAGGAAATTTCATTTCCCTGAATTTGAATTTTGATTCTATATTTTTAAATTTACTTTTCAGTTGCAAATGGCTCCTAAACGTGTTGTCAATTTTGTTCTTACTTTCTCTAGCAAACATTCTTAGCGAATACACAACCTTTAACTGATTTTTTTTGTTAGGCAAAGTTTTCTTAAAGGAGATATTATTTTATTATAAAGCAATATAGGTTCATTTAAAAAATTCATAAAATACAGATAAGTGTAAAAAAGCCATAGATGTATTAAATATATGGAAATTTTAAAATATAGATATATTAAAAATTAAAGGAGGCAAATTTGAAAAACCACCACCTAATTAACCTCTTTTATGAATGATTTTTTTACATTATGTTTTCTTAAAATGGAGTATACTTGCAGCTTTATTTAACTTTTACATATTTACATTAATGAATATTGACACAACAAAGTTTGCGTTCTACAACATAGTTGATTTAGTTGGCAATTCGTAGTGACTTTCCTAAAGGAGTTGAAATCTTTTTTATGAATATATATTTGCTATGTTGTAATGAACTTTTCAGGACAGGAATATCAGCACATATATATTATTGTAAATATCCAGTGACCTATACAGGTCCCAAAGTAATCATTGCAATCTGCCACATTCTCCTAAAATAAATTAAAATAAGTTGTATTATCTCTTAGGAATATTTAAAGCATATGCTGCATTTGTTTTACGTTTTTGGAAAGTGAATAAATGAAACCCATTTAGAATAGTTTCAAGTTTCAGCCAGTTTTCTTTACTTAACCACTGTGATTTAAAATATAAAAACAGAAAACTCAGTAAATATATCACCATAACACTTCAAATTCAAATTTGAATTTTCAATTCAAAATAGTGAAATAGAAAATAGGAAAGCCAGTAAATAGCTATGTAAGCTTTTCATATTTTTGTTTAAGAACTGTTAAAAGTTATTTTATCTCATTAAAATAACTCTTTTGCCTAACAAAATAGTTGCACATGTCTCTTTCCCTCAAAGTTTTACATAAAAGAAATGAATTAGATGTTGCTTCAATTTGAGTATAATCTGATATAGAAGTTTTTATTATTTCTAACATAATATAAAAGAGGTTCATTGTAATTAACATAAGTTCTTTAAAACTCTAGAGTTAAACTGGAAAAAAAGAAGTCAAATTAATATAATTTAAAAACAAGAAAACAATTAAATGAATGTTTATTATGAACATAGACTTTAAATCTTCTTTAGCCGTTCTTTAAGTAATTTGGTAAAGATTTTTAAAATTTTAACTAGAAAAATCAAAACTCAGAAACATCCATATAATGATTAATTCTCTTAAATAAAGTCATCTCTGAACTTATAAAAAGCCCTAAAGCATTCTAAAATGTATTTTTATTAGTAACATTAGGCAGCTATTTAGTTTTATTTCATCTTGTGTGTTCTTTAAATGAGGTACCAATATTTGCCTCTGTAACTGTTAATGTGAATCTTAAACTGTTATTTATGTTCTGATTTTATTAAAAACGTACAACTCATCAGCACCAATTTTAATCCTCTCCTTGTTGGCAAAAACCAATTTCCTAACATTACCTAGATTTTGGCTATTATTCTAACTAGGCAGGAAATAATTCAACTTATGCATATGTATACATTTTTGTGTAAATGTCAGAGTTTTCTCTACGGAATCTTTTTTTCCCACATTATTATAGTTGGAATCTTAAAATATTACAAAATATTTACCTGGTTATTTGGAAGGTACTACGCTGGTGTTTTTGTTGGTCTTTTCTCACGAGGTATTATAATTCAAAACATTTTTGTATTTTTCTTTCTGTCGGTGGTCAAAAAAAAAAAGAAGAAGAAGAAACAGATTTCCAGGTTATTATCTAACATAAAAGAGCAATCAACTCAATTTTCAGTAGTGGCAATTAGGATTTTAATCTAATAGGCATATTTTTCTGAGTAAAATCAAAGTCTGTATTCAATTGAGTTGATTTTCTTAGTCTCAAAATCCCAAACTCAAAATGTAGGAAAGCGTTCAGAGAAATGTGGGTACTGGCGCTTAGTAGTACTGTGAGAAGGATAGATGATTTTCTAACCGCTGACCTTAAATACTCTGATTCCCATTTGGTTTCTGACACCATTCCTAAAGTTATGACTCCAAGAATAATGTTGCCGAATGATGATTGGTTAACAGAATGATGCGATGTCTTCCAGGGGCAGAACTTCTGGGAATAATGTGACTTGGAATATTTATGGGTATTTCTTTTGGTGTGCTTAAAATATTTCCATTCTCCCCATGTCCACCTCATAAACTTTTAAGTTTCCCTAACCCATAATTTGTTTTATGATGAGTAACTCAACAAAGTGGGAAGGGCCCGATCCCAAATTTTTATTGACCTGTTCCAGGAATATTTATAAGTAGTCGAACAACACGTAAGTGTTGCTTTTCAGCAGGTTCAAATATATTTTTGGATGAAAAGAGACAAAATGGGTCAAAGGAACAGGAATCCTACATACACACCCATCCAACCTCATGTTGCAGTTTTTATAAAAACTTAGATCATCTGACAGTTGACAAAATGAAATGTTAGTCACAAAACATCCCATAACAATTTTCTGTCCATTTTTATAAAATCTGTATAAAGTAATATACTGGAAAACAATCGACATCCACCACATTACCTCTGAGTCAAAATTGTGGGACCAATTCGTCCTTAAACCACTTCTCAAACAGTTTTTATGTTTACATTAAATACTAATGATACATCTTTCCTATTATACCACATTAGAAATTTATCAAACCAAACTTAGACAAGAAGCCCAGTAGATTAACTGCTACCCTCCTAATTGCTCTCCCATAGGTTAAAAATATTCCACCAAAATGTGAACATCTGTTTGCAATAGTTAACAAAACATTCCTCTGTTAATATCGTTATAAACCTTAACAACTCAACAAGAGTAGAGAAAGGAATTTTCTTACAACCACACAGCACTCATTTTGTTGCTATTCTCTTGCTTTCCTGTTACCAGAGAATGACGGTGCTATCACTGCAGCTCAGAATGGTGACTTAACATTAATTAAGAATCCTAGCAGAAAAGCTCCCAAATATACTTTTTTGGGGAGTGTTCATGCAATTTCCTTAAATATACTTGCATTTTCCCCTTTTATTTTTCTTTGTTCTACTATAATTATCCTGCTGTATATAAAGACCTTATATCATATATGATCAGCTTTCCTTATATGAGACAAGTGTCTAAACCATACTTTATTTTTCTGTAAAATTGGAATCATAAATAAGTAATCATTTGTTAACTGCCTACTATGTGCAAGAAATTTCTTCCTATAAAACTAAATCGAGTAAAATATTTATAAAAATGTGCTCTGAGAAGTGCTAAGTTCTGTAAAGTTAAGTGTGTGTGTGTGTGTTTGTGTGTCTGTGTGTGTGTGTGTGTGTGTGTGTCTCTCTACCCTTGAACTCTCCATTTCATCAAATTCTCTGGGTGATGATTACGTTGCTTTATGCTAATTCCTATTTGTCCAGTCATTTCTTTGGAGTACTATAGGGATATAATCATTTAAATTATATGTCAAATTATTGATATTCTCCTCCTTTGAATTTCTTTTATCTTTCTATCCTGGAACATATAATACAGGTATAGATATATATTCCTAGTATTTGTCTGTGTGTGTATATAGATATTTTTTTTCCCTGGGAGAGAAAAATAATGTATATCATATATATGGTAGAATTACTCTTTCTTTTCTCATACTTATTGTTAGGGGCACATAACTCAAAGCTAACAAAACTCAAAAATGTTATCACCGAAAAATTATCTATTCCAGATATTTAAAAGGGATAGTTTCCTGGAGTAGGAAAATCCCCCCAAAATTCCAATGCCAGTTCAGCAGGTAATGTAAATGAATTTGAAAGTCATTCTCTCTTTTTATCCTTCAAACCTGTGAAACAGTGTGTCACTTTTGCGGACTAACAGTGTGGTGGACGGGGATAAGGTAAAGGAATTGGAGGAGAGCCCAGCCGGCGCGTGGTCTCATAATACCATTGACCTCTCGGCAGTGGATCTTTTGTTTAGGAAGGTGGTTTTTATTACTTCCTCCTGATTCTGGTTACCAACAGAGGATGAGTTAAAACTGTTCAAATGAGCTGGGCTCAGTAACTTGGTGAGCATCTACTCTGCCCTCCATGCTTTGCAAAATTGGCAATATTTTACATGATGTCTGACCACTTAATAAAAGGGAAAAGTCAGCTTCTCATTCACGATCCAGAGGAAGAGGCAGCTTTAAATCACTAAGTGATGATTTTGAGACTGTCGATCAGGTTTAAACACATGAACGTACATTATTAAGTTTTTGGCGTTCTTTAGAGAATTTGTTTTGTTATTATCTAGCACTGATTGAGCTCTCTTTTTCTCATATCCATAGGGCACTAAAAATATGAACAAAGATAGGCAGATTGGATTAATTTGAACATTTATTTGCCTGCAGATATTTTAAAGAATTGAGGGCTTTATGAATATCAAATGCCATAAATTTAACCAAATAAGCCTGTGTGACATATTTTATAAATTTCTCTCATATTATTGAAGGGTACTTTTTGCCCTGGGTTAAGGGAAAAATAGATACATATATTAGCTTGTCAGTTTTGTCAATTCAAAAAGAGCATATGTGCCATAAACTTTTATAAAGGACAAGATTTAAATATTATACTATTTATTATTTTAAAAATGAATAGGAAGTATCAGACATTACACAAATCAATACCATATGCTGGCATTTCAGGTTGCAAATATTATCAATTGTTTTAAATATACTGTCTCATTACATAGTTTAGAAAATATTGTTACTTTGTTTAAAAGCTTAACACTCTGCAAATATGTCAATGTCAGGTTTGTTACAAAATAGCTAAGTATAGACCGCTGTCATTTTATAGTCTTGATATGAACTATAAACGGAATTTAAACTGTGAGGTTTTTTCCATTCTTTGGTGAGATTACACACATAATTTCCAAGTTATTGAACGGATGGGTCCATTTTTCATTTTACCCAGTATGTTGACAGCACGTCAACCTACTGCTGGCCCCGACGATTTATTAATCTGCTCTGCCATCATTTGGGACTTGAAGGAAGCTATGCTGGCTAGCCTGGTATGTAAGAGATTAGAGTGTTAAAACTTTTGAAATCTCAGTATTGTTTTTGCACCATTAGCCCCACTGGAAATTTTTATCTCAACTTTTACTATACCTTCTTGTTCAGAGAAAGAGGGCATTTATTTCAACCTTAGTGTTTCCCAGGGAGTGGACTATTACAAATATATGTAATCTTATTTAATTCCTCAGCCTGTTTAAACTGAACTCAGCACTTAGAATCGAAAAATTACATAAACATCATCCCCTTTCTATTTTCTATGCTAGAATAGTGCTACTAATTTACCAAGGATAGGACATATGATTTGAATTAATTTTCCAGAAGAGAGGAAGAATTTGCTGGGAGCAACCATACTCTAGACCCCTATCCCTCTGACCAACTAAATTTGATTAGTCAGAGTTTCTCATGTGTCCTGTAACCAGGGGATGGCATGCCCACTACCTCCCCATGAATGGAACTGATATTTGTAGTGATCAAATCTGAGAACTCTCAATTGAATCAATAGGTCTCATCCCTTGATGCCTATTAAAATCATTTGAGTGGCTTGCCTAGACTTCACCTCAACCAATGAAATCAAAATCTCAAGGGCTTGAGCACTGGTTATTTTTAAAGTTTCACAGATGTTTCTTTCTTTTTTTTTTTTTTTTGAGACAGAGTCTTTTTCTGTCACCTGGGCTAGAGTGCAGTGGCATCATCATAGCTCACTGCAACCTCAAATTCCTGGACTCAACTGATCCTCTTGCCTCCCAAGTAGCTGGGACTACAGGCCTGTGCCACAACACCTGGTTAATTTGTTTTTTTCTATGTTTGGTTCAGATGGGGTCTTGCTTTTGCTCAGGTTGGTCTCAAACTCCTGAGCTCAAATGATCCTCCCATCTTGGCCTCCCAGAGTGCTAGGATTACAGGCACAAGACACCATGCCCTGGCCCACAGATGTTTCTATGCACTCTGAGAGTTGAAGGCAACTACTCTCAATGCTCCTTAAATTTTAATGTGCATAAGTCACCTGGCAATCTTGTTAGAATGCAAGTTTTGATTCTGTAGGTCTGGAGTGGAGCCTGAGTCTGCATTTCTCACCAGTGATGCTCGTGTTGCTGATCCATGAACGATACTGAGTAACAAGGTGTTGAATGGTATCAGGAACATGTAGGCATGCATGAGCATCCTTTAAACAGGGAATTAGAAATAAAAGTAATTTCCCTTTATTATCTCAGATAATCTCTGATAACAATATTAGCCTGGTCTAACACTTTAAATACAACTTGAAAAGGTTTACTGTACAGGGTCAAGACATCTGGACAAAACATGAGACAAAACCAAAGGACAAAACATTTGCACCCTAAACAATCTTAAAGATCTTTTACATTCAAAGCCATCATTTTTGTTCAGCAGGAAACAGGTCCAGAGAGTTAAGTGATTAGATTAACTGTGCTTCTGTTGTTGAATAAAACACTTCATGAACGGTATTTGAACACGATTGCTGTTGGTTTCAGGCCGTCGCCAAGTTGATGTCAGTAGATTGCCGCTGCCACGGGGTTTCTGGCTCCTGTGCTGTGAAAACATGCTGGAAAACCATGTCTTCTTTTGAAAAGATTGGCCATTTGTTGAAGGATAAATATGAAAACAGTGTCCAGATATCAGACAAAATAAAGAGGAAAATGCGCCGGAGAGAAAAAGATCAGAGGAAAATACCCATCCACAAGGATGATCTGCTTTATGTTAATAAGTCTCCCAACTATTGTGTAGAGGATAAAAAACTGGGGATCCCAGGGACGCAAGGCAGAGAATGCAACCGTACATCAGAGGGCGCAGATGGCTGTAATCTCCTCTGCTGCGGCCGAGGCTACAACACACACGTGGTCAGGCACGTGGAGAGGTGTGAGTGCAAGTTTATCTGGTGCTGCTACGTCCGTTGCAGGAGGTGTGAAAGCATGACCGATGTCCACACTTGCAAGTAACCACTCCATCCAGTCTTGGGCAAGATTCCTCAGCAGCATACACCAGCATTGCAACCCAGAGCGTCTCCTTCCTTGTGCACGGCTGGTAAAGTTGACTCTTTCATTGGAAACCCCAGATCCTTGGACCTCTCTGAAGGTGTCCTTTACCTGATCAACACATCGATCATGTGGCTTTCTTGGGATTCTAGAGTTGAAAAGGTTTGTATTCATCTTTTGGTAGTTTGGGGAATGTATATTGACATACAAAGAATATCGAACAGATAATCTATTTCTGAAGCAAGAAAGAACAGGAAAGAGGCCTCATGCCAAGATAAATGGACCGTTCTCAGGATAAGATCCTGGAATATGGAACTCAGTTACGGAACTCAGTAATGGAGGGTGAACATTAGTCATTTTAAAAAGACATTTTTTAATAGCAAAGAGCAGTAAACATGAATTTCATTTATTCTTTCAGTACTTTAATTGAAGAAATCATACTAAGTGTGTGTACACAGAAGATGTTGAAAAGTTAATGTAAGCAGTAGGTGCTTACTCACCCTTTCATGCACTTCAAAAGGACCGCAATTAAAAAATATTCACAAGTGATACAATATCCCTAAAAGTGTTTGTTAGAGATGTTTAGTGACAAACAGAAAGAATCAAAATGTAAAAAGTAAAATGTATGATTTGGAATTCAAGTGCCTTTTAACCAAGAGAATCCAGAAAAATCTCCATAAGGTATATAGCAATCTTTGAGTTTTGGGTTCATACTTTTATCATAAACCAATTTCCACTTATGTTAAAAACCCAGCTCTGGGATACTGAGGGAGGGAGGGATCCTGAAAACATGGGAAAAGTAGAGGTAAAAATATAAAGGGCTCTTATGCATTGTAAAGAAAAGTACCCTTTAAATGTATAAAAGTATTTTGTATAGTATTTTGTTTAAAAAGTTTATATTTTGTAAATACAGTATTTAAGTTATATAACATATATTAAAACTTAAGACATTTATTGCCAAAGCCCAAGAGCTAAGAAATAAGATTAGCTTCTGTTTCTTTTCACACTATTAACTCTGACTTTTTTTTATCATTGAAAAGAAGTTAACTGAGCAGTTAGTTATATGGATGTGTATTTCTGGCTATAATGACAATTTTATGTTATAGATTAAAATATGTTACAAAATATGGAGAATTGTATTATTTCAGCAGTCAGATTAATTGAATTCTCTTTTCACATTAGTTATGCTTAACTCATAAGGTTATTATAATAAATTATATAAGTCTTAACTGGAAAAAATCTAAATCAGAATAATGATCAACTTGTGAATTTGTTGCCCTGAATATTTATTATATTGTACGTAATGCTGCATTTCTATTTGAATGTTGAATGGTGTTTCTTATTTTAATATTCATGCATGTATATTCATCATATTTTACAAGATTCCTGGTAAAATAACAGGGCTCTATTTAAAGTTATATTTTAATGTAAATCCTTATGTTTTTTATGAATTGTCAAATATTTCAGTATTATATAGAAAAAAATTGATTTTCTAAGTTCAGAATGGACAAAAAGAGAATATTCATTTTCTTATTAAGATAAAGAAATGTTTCCCTGCCCCCAGGTCTCATTCTATTTTCTTTTAATTTTAGTTACCAAGGCAGAGCAATAATTTGGGGAAAAAAGTAAATCCATAGAAAATGTCTCAGGTCTAATATTAAAATCAAGACTAAACATTTAACTGTGACCCTTAAAGTTTAACAAAGTCATTATTTACTAAATAAGAGACTCAGAAATGGCAGATAAACAATTATAGTGCTTATTTAAGAGTGGTTTTCCATTCTGTGGCACCCATTGAATAGAATAACCTGAAAAATAGACACTTATTCTCATGCCTGTTTTTGCAAAGTAAATCTATTTGTCTTCGTTGAACATAAGTATCCTTAAAAAAACCAAAAAGGAAGACTGTAGTTCTCATTAACAACCAATTTCTTTTATTAACTAGAATATTTTTCATAATTACCTTATCAATTGACTGTGAGAACCAGGCAGCCTCTAACTCCCAAGCTGTGTCTTTGGGTTCTTCTTTTCCTTTTCATCTTTGGCATTACCATGGAAGTCAACCTTGAGTTTCTCACTTATCTGTCTTATTGGCTGATGGCCTGGCCTTGGCCCCATTTCCTTCCCACTCTTGGTCATGGTAGAGGTAGCACCATGGTACTCCTGGGAACACAATTCTGGGACCCAAAGGTTCCTATCCAGTCTAGGCTACTTTGCCCCAACATTAGTTGGGGCTCTTTATGTTGCAAATAATGGAAAACCCACCCCAGATTGCTTTTAAACATTAAAGAAAATGTATTGACTCAGTAATTGAAAACTCCAGACTTGTGACTGGTTCAGGTGAAGCGTGATCCATAAGCTCACACCATTTTCCCTGGGCTCAGGTCTATCTCTTTAGGCTTGTTTTTGGCCTTGTCTTCTACTTCAGGCTCCACAGGGTGCTCGCCAGCCCCACCCCCAAAACTCTCCCACCCCCAGCAGCTCCAGATTCTCTGCTTTTCTTAGCAACATGGCTGCCACATTTCCAGACCTCACATTCTCCTACCACTCATTTGTAAGGAAAGAGAGAGGTCCCAATCTACGGTAAGAGACATTTTTTTCCTGGTTGCTCACACAGAAGACAGGGAAAATTTTCTTTCCCAGAAGGCCTGGCAAAAGTGATCTGAGTCTTATTGGCTCTGATTGGTTAAATGTGCCCATCTTTGGACCACTCACAATGACCACTGGGAGTTGGGGGTGGGTGATAGGTACACTGATCCAGCTCAAGGCCATTATGGCCCACACCTGGAACTGGCAGTGGGGTTCACTTCAATTAAAACTTTACAGCTTGAGAATAGAGAGGGGGTGGTTGCCCTAAAGGAAAACCAGGGTGTTACGCTACCAGTAAAATGTACCTGGATGCTGGGTAGCAGTGCCATTAGATGACCCAGTTCTAGTGAGATGTTTAGGAGGCAGCTTCTAGCACCATTTAGAGCTCACAACCAGACAAAGCAAGCACAGAGCACTGTGGATTATGTATGGGGCACACAATGCTTTGATTTGTTTAAATGCCCTTTATGATGTTAAAAGGGGAAGGGAGGTGCCCCAGTGTATCATTTTTCAATTTAGGCGTTCAATTTCTTTGTAAATTTGTAACTGCCTAATGGAGGCAATGGTAAGAGGAAATGATTCATCTTGAAATGAAATCAAGAAAAACATATTAGACGACATTATCTGTAACACCTGGATAAGGAAATTGACTAATTAAGGCATTTTCCTGATAATAATAGTACTTTACACAACATTAGCAACATGTTCATCATTTCGAATATAAACAACTGCATCATTTTCTTATTCACAACTTGGATGATAGTTGTTTTGTATTTTAAGATATTATGACAGCTATATTAAGAATGACAATAAGATTAAAATTATATGCATTAGATGCTGTGACCTGATATGTTTATGTGACATTCACAGTAAATATTTTAGAAACACATTTTACTTTTCTGAAGTACTGTTAATACTGATATGCCATTTGTTTTTACTTAGTTTAAAATGTGGAAGCAGAAAAGCTTCTCATCAAAATATTTATTTATTAGGCAATTTGGTGAGTTTCTGATACTTCATGCATCACCTCCCAAAGGTTGTCAAACACTGGAAAAATTAAACTATTTGGAGGCAGGTAGTCATCTAGAGCACTATGTTCCATTTGGCTGATCTGAGGTGAAAAATAATTTAAAT